GGGCACGCTCGTGCAGGAAGGACAGGTGCGATCGCCGCCATCTCCCTACTTAGGGTGGTGGGGAGATGGTTGCGATTGCACTCGCCACCCAATGCGGAGTTTGTGACCTGAGTCAAAATTTTTATGAAATTTTTGTTTGCCACCCGATTTGGTTGTGAACTGAGGCGTTTGTGAGCCAAAGTACCACTGTATTTGGGAAATTGTGAGTCTTAACACAACTGTGCTTTGCAGAGGATTCACAGCCTGGGCCCAGTAAAGAAGACAAAGCTAAGCAACTGCCCAGCTTTTGGATCCCTTCACTGACCCCTGAGGCCAAGACCAAAGTCATTCAGAAGCCAGTGAGTACTTTTGTTGTTCTCTTCCAGACTCACATAGCGCCCTGTTTCTTGTGGAACTTGGGGTACTAAAAACTTATATAAGTTTAACAAACTGCTGCATCTTCTTCAATGCACTGGGAAAATGGGAGTTTCATGGATCGTGATTGAAAGCTTGTGCGTTACTCATAAACCTGCAGTTCCAGAGTTCTTTGGAGAAATATTTGAATTTACAAGTATTTCAATAAAAATAATTTTCAAGTAAGGCCTTGAATTGGATGGCAGCTGAAGTGTGCTTTAGGGCACAGTCCCTTTGCTGACTGGGAAATGTTAGGATTTATAAGGCAATTGTAGGATTATGTGCTTCTGTATATTTTTTTTTTCCTAATCAATTATATTAGTTTAAGAACCTTGGGGTATTGTAGAAAACCCTTTTGAGATTTACAGAACATGAAAGTAAACAGAAAGCACTTTTTTTAGATTTGTTTACTGAAATAAAATGCTGAACCAAATTCCAGTAAACTAAGTAGATCAGAAAAAAGTCAGAAAGTTTTGATGCCTTTCTTAGTCTACCCTCCCCTATTTAAATAAACTAGAAGTCCCCTAATTTCTCCTTTAATCCATTGTTTTCTTTCCATTCTTTTGATAAAATTTGAAATATATGTGTTCAAAACTTGGAATGTTCAACCATCAGGTGTTGAACCAGCTTACCTCTGCTGCCAAATGTTTGTATTCCTTTTATGTAATGCCATCTACTTGAATAGCTTGGGTGGGCTGGAGGAATCTTTTTGTAGGCTTGAGTTCCTTGTGTCCAACTGATTAAATATAAACTGTGTGTGGACAGGGAGAGCATTTGGCTGCCTGTATGTTCCTCTAGAGATTTTACTCAGTGGAATTCTCTGTTTCCCACATCTGGCCCTGAGCAGCAACTGTGTTCAGGTTCCAGCTTTTCTTAACAGGATGCATCATATATCAAATCTTGGCAGTTGAATTCGGAATATATAACCAATTTCTGTTGGGATGGTGGGAAGCTGTGTATTTGAATATGATTTCTAATTCACTGGATTAACCCACCTTTTGTTATCCTTTGAGGAACATAACAGTCCTGCTTCCCAACTTGCCAACTCTTATCATTCTAGGACAAGTGTGTGTACTGTCCCATGAGCAGGAAACCCCTGAAGCTGAAAGACCTGATTCCAGTGCACTTCACCCCCGTGGATACTAGTGTCGATCGTGTAGGGCTGATCAACCGTCAGGACCGATACGTGTGTGCGGTCACACGAGACATGCTTGGCAACTCTGTCCCTTGTGCTGTGCTCCGTCCATCGTGAGTGAGAGGGTGGGGCACTTACGGATAGAAGAACAATGGCCTCTGCCCAGCCACTTATGGAGGGGTGTCATCAAGGCTGAAGGGAGGAGGTACAGGGATCCGTACCTTCGACTAAGTATATAATAGATGCCTCTGGTTTTCCCCAAGGGGCTCTGTTGTGACTCTAGAGTGTGTGGAGAAACTCATCAAAAAGGACATGGTTGATCCAGTGAATGGGGAGAAGCTCACAGAGAAGGACATCATTGTCCTACAGCGGGTGAGAACATTTAACTTTTTCCCTGTACCTATGAGCTGTAGTTTCCCTGTGTTGCATCCTAGATGTCAGAGCACTGCCTGCCCGTTCACGATTCAGGATTTCTTTATCCTTCTAAAAAATGAACCCCGTGTTTGTCATCACAACCTTCCCGGACCGGCTGGCCTCCAGATAAGTTGGACTAGAACTCCTAGCATATGGTTAGGGCATGTTGGAAATGGTAGTCCAACACATCTGCCGGGCAGCAGCTTGGAGAAGTCTGATGTGTCACATTGCAGAAAGTAGCCTTTGATGCAGCTCTCAGCTATTGCTTTAGAATCACTTCTCTTATGCCCCAGTGGTTTCTGATGGGCTGTAGACATTTACCAGCATCTCCAAGTTTTCCTCAGTGTCATCAGTCATTTTAGCATTGTTGATGTGTTACCATTGGAGCTAACAACTGCATGGACTTGCTTTCAAATAGCACTGTCCATTATATGTTTATATTTTCAAAATGCTCCCCAGAAATCAAAATCAGGAGACAAGTTCTATATAATTAGGGGCTTGTGAACTATTTTTAAAAATCTTAAGAGAAATGTTGGTTGTAAGTAGCAGCATTGTCTTACTTATGGTATGCAGGCCATGGCAGTTTAGTACTCGCCATTTCAGGCCTGAGAATGACTAGAAATGAGTAGTCATTGGGCTCTTTGTGTGTGAACCAGTCCAACATAATTCAGAAATAAATTTTTAAAGGTTGTTGAAATTCTGAATTCCCCATTGCCTTACTTACAAGGTTTGAAGTCATGTTTAACCCAGGTCAGAGGAGTTTCTTGGTCTCCAAATGACCCTATTCCCAAACTGTTTCCCATCAGCCCCAGCCAGCATGGCCATTGAAGATGGAAATTGTCATCCAGAGTATCATAGATTCCCTGGAATTTTGCACGTGGAAGAAATAAGCATTTTCTCTGTTGTTATTTCCAGTGCAAATGTTTCAGCAGCCGGCTAGCGCTACTCATTTCCTGCTAATACCGCTGCTTAGCTTCTGTTAGATTTTAGACCTCCTAGAATTTAGGCATGCACAGGTTTCATGCCAAAGGGCGATGAGGTGCCTGTTAGGCAGAGGGCAGGGGCAGTTTAGCCAGGAAAAGACAGATTAAATACAGAGAGCAGAGGGGGCAGCCCACTAGGACTGGAGCGCCAAATCTTTCATTTGGTGCCCTGAATCTTTGAAGGCCACCCCCCGCTTTTTTTTTTTGCTGTCCATGGGCACTTGTTATTATCACTGAAATAAAGGTACAGGGGCCCTGCATTTTTAATCTCTGCTGCATGATCTACTCACTCTTGCTAAGCTGGCTTTTTACCCATAGGTGCTTTCATTCCTGCTGTCTCCCTTGAATCTTTCTGCCTGCAGTTTTCTTCTGAAATCAAATGCCCTCCTTCCCCCTCTCTAGGCATCTTTTTTTTTAACAAACAAGGATGCCTTGTAGGTAGATATGTACACCAGAACTTCAGAGCATTTGTAAATTAGCCTATGTAAATGTGTGGGGGGTTGTCCTGTGGGCCTGAGCCCCACATCTAGCACTGCTCCTTTCAAAGAAAAGGCCTCGAATATCCCTTTAGATGCCACAGGGAAGCAGAAGGCTCCTGAGGAGAAATTAGTGGTTGCCTCTTGCTGCCCGGTTTGCCAGCACAGCTCCAAAATTAGAGTGTGAAATCCATTCAAACTGGGGCTGAGCCTCCCTCAAGAACTGCCAATTTCTTTGAATGTTTTCAAGTCGGCTTTCTGCGGGAAACTTGGTTGCCAACCTCGAGCACACAAAATACGATATAAACTCCCCTTGTTGGGCTATCTGTGCCTGGATGAAGCAGTTCAACCTTTTATATTCAGTAACTGGAATAAGAGGTAAAACGTGCCTTTCCTCCAGGCTGTGCCCTCCCCTCAGATCTTCTCATCCGCTCCCAGCAGAACTGCTGCCATGGCTTCAGTGAGCAAGCATGTGCAGTACTGCCTCTGCTGAGGTAATGCTTGGGGCGCACACAGTTTCTGTGATCTCTCCTGCCTTGGCCAGTTTCCTCCCAGTCAGAAGGGTCAGGCAAGCATCTCTCCTCCTCGTCTGCAGGTCTGTTTTGGCAAATGCACCTCCCCCTTGTATTAGCATTACAAAGAATTGGAAATCCCATTTCCCCCCCATTATAGATGGTTTCTCCCTTCGGCAACTAGAACAAGAGACAACTTTTGTGTTTGGTTTCCTCTGGTGCAGGAAGTGCTTTCCAGTGTGTGCTTCTCTGTTGGACCCAAGAGTTGTATGTTACATATGCAGTGTATTAGGAATTGAGGCTTGTGTCATGGCTGAAAATAGAATTAGGTTTCAGAATCTCTCATTTTGACACTGAGCAGAACAAGGCATTCTGAGCATCTTAAGCTGTGGGTGGAAAGCTTCCTTCCCCAGCCAGGTGCCATCCAGCCTTCTCTTACTCGCATTTTTCTTCTTCTAGGGTGGCACAGGATTTTCAGGGTCAGGTGTGGAGCTGGAGGCCAAGAAGTCCCGCCCTGTTATGCAAGCATAACCTGTACAGACAGCTGCCCAGGCAGAGGAAAGAAACAGCCACTTTGCCATTCTAGGCTGGCTACAATGTCTTATCCCAAAACAGCAAATATTGCATATGAATAGAGATGGCAAAAACCTTCTGTAAATTTGTAAATAAAAGCTGTTTTGTTTCTTTGTTTTATCTGAGTAGAAGAGAGAACTTTTGCTTCTAAGTTGAGAAGTCATTTGTTTATACTTGCTATTCAGGACATTTCCATTGACTTACCTCTCATTGTCCTCTTTCAGGGGTGTCAAACCTCTTTCAGAAGGCCTCGGAGGTCCCATCTGACTTGTGAACGGGGCCGAAGGCAAAAGGGAGTGGGGCTGCCATATTTGAGCCAGTAACTTACTGTCAGTAATTAAATCTTAGAAGTATTTCAACCTTTGTGAATAGAGGGAAACATGTGAAAACTGGGAAACCACCAAATATTTGGGGATTTGGGGAAAGGAAGTGTGGCCAGGGAAAGGGGACACAACCATCTGGAGAATCCCAGAAGATTGAATTTGGCCCATGTGCCTGATGTTCAACACCCCTGTTAGATAGTTCAATCTTAAGTGTGTGGATTTTAAGGAATTTGAAAAAGTCAGCTGCTTGTCAGAAATCCCAGTGTGTCATTTTAGCTGATGTAAGATTAAAAGGATGTTGCAAGCCCACTGTGGAGTAGATCCCATAGAATTCAATGTGATCGCCAAGCATAGGGTGGAATGCAACTATTTGACACAACGAAATGTACCCAAGCTAGTAATTGGAACCATGGGATTTTATTAGACAGGGACACTTCTGGTGCAATCACTAAATCTCTGAATTCAATAGGGTTTATTTCCAAGTATGCTGGTTTTTGATTGAAGCCTGTATTTTGAAAAGAAGGTTGATGCTGGAGACAAAATACAGTGTTATCACTACAATGAACAACCTGTCTTACTTTCCTGAGCTTGAAGTGGGGTTGGGAGACCCACTCTTGCCAGGAACTGTTGAACCCTATCAGTTTCCAATTAATGGGGATTAGATGAGCTGGAGGGTAGGGGAAACAGTAAGATCCTGTTTCCTTTGTCCAAGTAATTATCCTTAACAGTTCTAGAGGTGTGAAGCAACACTGCCTTGGTGTATGGAATGAGCCTTTGCATATCAGGGAAAGGCAGGTTTTTGGATTGTAAACATGGATATTCACACACACACATACACAGAAAGATGCATGCTTGGAACATCTCTAGAAGAGGCGGCACAGGGGTAGCCTGGTTCTGTAGGGAACTGAAGAGCTTACCTTGAAGTAGGATCAAGACATTTTTTGAATTCATAATTATCATGCAGATTTGCACCAGGGGAGAGAATCCTGGCTCTTGCTCTTAGAAAAAGCACACTTATAATGCATTGCAAAGGATAAATGACAATATTTCTTATTTTGATGCATCTCTAGCAGGAAGCAAACTTTTCCAGTGGATTGGTCCAAGAATTCTAAACAGCCTTGTTTTTTCTGCTCACTACGTAGTGTTCTCTGCGCCACAACACGTTCAGGGGGTGGGAGTTAGTTTTATTCATTATTCAGAGTGTTTACAGTCATGAAGTCACAGCTCTTTGTGAAAATCTGTATGCTTGAACGTTTCTGCATCTTCTTTGGTCTCACTGAAAAATTGCTGGTACGTGATCATGATTTCCTCCTTTGAAAGCCTGCCATCCTGAAGAGGAAGAGGTACAGAGAGCAACTACAAGCCTGGAGTAGCAACACTTGGTTCAAGGTACAAGCCATCTACACTTTGCATGTAAGCACATGGCACACAGCCCCTGTGGTTTTACACTGACGAAAAGTAGCAATAGAAGATGGTGATTCCGAGCCCACCAATCTCTTTTCTATTCCCACTTGTCCGCTTCAGTTGCTTGTCCCCCACAGAAGCCCAGCTGAGTGTTTGAAAGGTAGTTAAGCAACTTGGGCAGCAGTATGAAGGCAGACAGCTTGTCCCTTAGAAGGACAGGTGGGGAGCTATTGAGGGAATAAGAGCCTTGCAAGGCATAGAAATAACAGTTGAACACACAAACCAGCCCTTGCGGAGTAGATTGGATCCTGTGAGGAAAGGGGTGGGGTTAGGGGTGCTGAACCTGCCTCTTCCTGTAATTCCCCTGCAGCGGAGACATCTTTACTAGTGCAGCAAGCTTCACAGTGCTTTGGGTAAGAGAGGAGGGTGCAGATGAGCAGGAATGGATCATAACGTAAACCTCCCCGATACACCAGCAATCCTGGCTTTCCAGAAAAGCTCAAGCAGGTCCTTACACAATAAATAAATTTCCTTCTGGTGTGTTGCTTCCCCCACCCCCATTTAAGGGAAGGACATTCAGATGTCCACCCTGCTCGCCCTGATCACAGCTCATCATGCTCCTTTGTCAAGTCTTCACCATAGTTGGTGGCCTGGCTGCCCACAAACATGTTCCAATTGTCCAAAATTTCTTGCTTGGTTATTTTGTCATCCTGTGATAGAGATGGGAGGCAGAAGGGAAAGAAATAGAAGGTAAGGAGAGAAGTACAAAATTACAACCCAATCACAAGCCAGTTGAATTATTCTGAATCATGTTCTGCAACATTTTGTTGATCGTGTTAATTACAAACAGATGATTGGACTAATTTGAGTTTAATGTTTCAGAGTGGAGAAAGAAAAGATCTAAACTACCCCCCCCCGCCCTCAATTAGGGATGCTCCCACCCAACTCTTAATAGCCCTGACAACATGCCTGCTGTCTCCATGCAAGGACTGAGAATTACAGAAATTCTTTAAAAGTTGCATTGAGGAAATTTCCCTCAACTCTATGGGGGATGGAGGAGAAATCAAGATGAAAGAAACTGCCTTCACCTGTGCTCTGCTGGTTTGTGCTGTGGAGGAAAATGTAGGGCAACTCCTCCTCTATTTTGCCTTCTACACCTGTGTGTGTATTTAGTTCGCCTCCCACTGAGAGAAGGAAATAAACTTTGTAAGCTCCAAGGCTGATACAGATCCCCTCTCTGCATTGTTTTGGAGGCATGGTCTGGAATTAAGGAATTGGTTTGGAAATAGGAGTAAGCAGTAAAGTGGCCAAGTTTGCTGATGATATCAAACTATTTAGGGTGGTTAAAACCAAAAAGGATGGTGAAATGCTTCAAGGGGTCTCTCCAAGCTGGGAGAACAGGCATCAAAATGGCAAATGCAGTGGCAAATGAACTTCAACAAAGAAAAATAGTTCCTTCCCCATCAAGAAGCAGTACAACTGCAATGACATTGAAGAGAAGAATTTTTCTACAGAGGACAACTAAAAAAGTATTTCCAATGTCAAGTTAGTCTTAACATTAAGAGACCAATTTCAATTGTAATTTGGAGGGAAAAAATCTACTTAGGATGAGATTTGGGTCTTATTAATTGACATCAGGGACCTAAAAAGAATGTTAATGGTAGGACCAGGCATGGTTGATCTAGTTTTCTTGTCCTAGAAATTAGCTATGTTTACAGTCTTGTGCCACTTAGTTGCAATAAGATGCTCAAAACGGGCAGGTTCTCAACTAATAGTTAAAAGTTGTGCCAGGATTTGATCAAAAATGAGGGCTTGACTGTGTCAAGACAGGTTTTTTTTTCATGAATTGGTGGTGGTGGTGTAATATGAAAGAAAAAAAATCCAAACCACGCAATTAAAAACAAAAAAGGAACAATACTGAAACTCTACCATTTTTGGATAAAATATACAAAGATCTTTTGTTATATACGAATGTATAAGAGATATATAATATGTAGGTAAATAGTGCTTGGGATTGAGAACCTTTTATTTGTTGAGGGCTGCATTCCCATGGTAGTTTTTTTTGTCAATAGGTACACTTAAAACTGGGTGTGACTGCCCTGCTTCCCTCTTCTCTGAACCCATTTCCTCTCTCTGCTTCTCCCTCTCCCCCTCCCCGACCCTCTTTCTCTCTCTCTGCCACCTCCATTTCCCATTTTCTTCTTCAACTGGAGAGACCTACTGCTCTTGCCAGTGATCAGAACTATGTTGTCCACCCTGCCCTACAAACTAGTCCATTAGCCCTTTTCAGAGATAGGGTGTATATACAGTTACTTAGTCCAGAACCAGGAAAAGAGCCTCTGGATTGAGGCAGGATGATTATGAGAAGCCATAGCAGGAGGACCGACTGATTCAGAGCCAGTAGTGATGAGGCACCCCAGCTGTTACTACTTTTCCTCAAACAGTGCCTGGATCAGAAAAGAAAGCCAGACTTTCAGTGGAGCAAGCCAAACTGCTAGCAGCAGGGCTCAAGACAACCAAACCCAGCTACTATTTTTACAGATGAAGCACAGTTCAGGGAGAGGAGAATCTAGAGGGGAGAAGTATCTGGGAAGAGAAACATAATCTGTTCCCTCCTTGCCATTTCTCTGCTGATTGCCCCCAGCAAGTGGATCCCCTATGGTCCTATAGGTGCCTACACATATACTTCTATGGACCAAATGCAGTTTGGAGTAAAAAAAAATGAGAGACTGAAGGGGAAAGCATTAGCTCAAGCTCCCTGTTCCCTCTCAATTCTAAATTCCCTTATTCTTGAAATGGTTTTCTAAAAAAAAGAAAGGAAGAAGATGTTACATGTGTTTGCAAATAGCATACAGATAATCCCTAATTAGACAACAAAAACAGGACAAAAAATGTCTACTGAGAATATATTAAAACCCAGGGCTGTCAGAGACAGGATCAAAGCCCTCCAACTTAGCTTTGACTTCCAGAATTGGAACGAAAGTTGTCCTGTCAACACTACACACTTTTTGTCTTATTATCCTCACAACTGCTGTGCATATATTCTGCCCTCCCCCCCACCCCCCAATTCCAGTACCTCGTAACATCCAACTCTGCCTGCAACTCGCCCATCTCTTTCTTTCTTTCTTTATTCCTCTGGTAAAAACAACTATATAACCTAATCTTTCCCTCCCTGGTTTCTACACCAGGATGCAGCTCTTTCACCTTATCCAGCTCTATCCTCACCTTATCCTGGTCCGATTGAACAAGGAGGTGCTTCGACTCCACTTCAGCATGGTCATAATCTGATGGCAGGATCCAGTGCCCGATCTCCTCTCGATCCATTTTCCCATCTCTGTTGAGGTCCCGAAAGTCCAAGAATTGTTGACGTTCTGTCTTTACCCAGTTAGGTTCTGGTTCTCCCGATTCAGGAGTGTACATGTCACCTTTTCAGAAGACATCACAAGATGTTTAAAAAAAAAGACTAGTTCCTCCTAGTTATCTCTGAAGAACACAAAAGTGCCCTCCCCGGTAATTTCTAATCCAGGGGTACAGACCATTGCAGGCCCTCTGAATGTGGCTAGACTGTAATGCCTGACCAGCTCACCCCATGGTCACAGACAGTGGGGGCTATAGTCTAACAATGAATCAGCTTTTTAACTTTCCTCCCTCCAAAAATGCCTGCAATTTCCCCAAAAACTGTTCTTCCTTGGATGGGTGGAATTAAAATGGTGAGAAAGCAATAGCACACACACACAGCCATCTTTCTTACCAAGATATTCATCCACTTGTACAAAGCCATCCCCATCCTTGTCTATGTCCTCAATGGTTTCCTGAAAAAAACAAGAAGGCGGAGAGCAACAATGCAGTAGATCTTAATCAATGGCGATATACCCACCTCCTCACTATAGACCTACGTAAGGAGGACAGCAGAGCCTTGCTGGTTTTATAAAAGGAGCCGATCCTTATGCACAGCTGCTTTCTTGTAAAAGGAGGCCATTCTATGCCAAGGAAACTGAGAGAATTTCCCCAATATCACATCCAAGTTTGCAGTCATGGGTTAAAAACAAACAAGCAAACAGAGGATTTGAACTGAATACTAGTAACTGGAGTGACAGAAGCATGCCTTGTTCTGGAGTATTTGGCATTGTGATACACAAATTCATCTCTGAAGTTGGCATTGCTGCTCCATGGCAAGTGAAGAACCTGGTGCCCCCAGTCCATGCCCAGCACTACACAACACCAGAGAGTCAGGCTGAGAAATTCCTTCCCTTGTAGGGTGATTCTCTGCCAATCAAAGGAAGCCAACTATGTCACACAGACACTGGACTTCAATTTCAGTGGACATGGTCTCTGACATGGTCTATCTCAGAGCCTTTGCCTCTCCCAAAATCGCAGTATTCCACCCTCACCGTCACTACAATATCCTTCATGTACTCAAACTCTTCAGGATGGAGAAAGGCTGTGAACTCCTCCCTCGTTGCGCTCATGTCCCCATTCTTGTCAGCTGCCTTGAACCGCCGTTCATCCCGGGCCAACATCTTGCGGTAAGAGTGTTTGTCTTCAAGATCCCCAAACTCCTCTCCTAGAGGATGCAAAGATGAAAGCACCTATGAAGCCCAAGAAGATGTGATCGCTATCAAAATTTGGAGATTCTTCTACAACAGGACTGGGCAACTTGTGGCCTCCAAAAGTTTTGGCCTACAGTTCCTATCATCTGCCACCAGTGATTATGCTGGCTAGGGATGATGGGAGTTGTAAGCCAAAACAACTGGAGAGCTTGCCCAACACTGTCCTCTTGTGAGAAGAGGATGTCCAGACTGGTTCAGCCACATACCTTGACTGTTGGTGTGGGGTCATTTGCTCAGAAGGGGCTCAGAAAGGGCTCAGAAGGAACTTATATGAGGGGGGAATCCCTTAGAAAGGACCTAGGTATTGGATTTGAATTGACCTCCTCCTGTACCAAGGAGCATGTAATGTTAAATTGAGTAATTAGAACCAGAGAGATGGATTTCTGATGGCCATGGGGGCTGGGGTGGGGAGTGGCATCAGCGTATATGTGAGGACTTGTAAGCCTCACTTAGATTATTAGCTAGTCTTGAGTCTTTGAGATAATTATTTTGGAAGTGCTACCTCTTCTACACACAAGGAGGAGGAAAATATCTCCCTCATCATTCTCGCCACTCTTTGCATAATTTTAAATTCTTACTTGCTTTTTTCTATTCTGTATAGTCCTAGTTTTTGCAGTCGTTTCTCATAGGGGAGATGCTCCACCCCCTTGATCATTTTCATTATCTTTTTTCAAATTCAATAATGTCCTTAATCAGGTGAGGCAACCAGAACTGAACACAATACAAGTGCAGTCACACCAAGGATTTGTACAAAGGGAGTAATATCTCGGCAGTTCTACTTTCTATTCTGTTCCTAATTATGCCAAGGACAGAGTTTGCCTTTCTTCCAGTGGCTGTGCACTGGGTCAATATTTTCACTGAGCTGTCCACTACTACCTCAAGATCACTTTCTTGCTTTGTCATGGCTGGTTTTTATCCCATCAGGATATACTTGTAATGGGGAGTGGGAGAGGGAGAGGGAGCCTCAGTCAACTACGATAATGCTGGTTAAGTGTGCAGCAAGTGAGCGAGAGGAAGCAGATGAATGTGGATCCTTGTCTTGTGTCTAGCAGCAGGTTCCTATAAACCTTACATAACAGTTTGAAAAGAGGGCTGAGTAGCTGCTATTGCCAGACAATGGAGTGTGGCCACAAGCATAGAGTTAGGAATGCAGGATGCCAGCTTGTAGTGAGTCGGGCCGCTGGTCCGTCTAGCTCAGTAGCACTGATACGAACTGGCAGCAGCTCTCCAGGATTTAAAGCACGATTCTTTGCTAGCTTCACCTGGAGATGCTGGCAATTGAACACAGGGCCTTCTCTACACAAAGCACTGAGCTAAGCTTCTCTCCCATTAGACCACACATTGTGCCTAGAGACCCCAGGGATCCCGACTCCCAACCCCAATACTCTACACCGCATACGATGCTGCCTTACTCCTGGCAGACAATTTGGCCAACCAACCCAGCAGCTGGCCTTGCCTCTATTTTGCCCTACCTGGTCATTCAGCTGGAGATACTGGGCCCTTCTGTATGCAAAGCAGAGACTCTGCTACAGCGGCCTCTTTCAAGAGCACCCAGCAGTCCAGGGTCTAACCCTGTGCTCTCATTAAATAGGCCTCTTTCCATAACCACCAGAAGT